CTATTTTGCGCAGTTTGCTGTTTTTGGCCAACCTTGTTAAAAAATCCTGGCTACACCACTGTTTTTGGGTGTTTTCTGACCATATTATTATGTGATTGAAAATAGGAGATTTGGGGATATTTTTTGGGGACAACCAGAAATTGTTGCGGACAACCCGATTTGATGCCTGGCGGACAACCACATTTTTTTTCTTATTTCGAGCACTGAAGTGAGATAACATAACTTTTGCATTTGTATCTCAACTACTAAGAACATGCGTAACTCTTCTCCCAACTCAACCCCTTCCCACTTTCTTCCTAATTGCTGTATCTTGTCCCTTGTGCTCCATTCATTCAGTATAAGACCTCTGCAGTTTTGCTATCTGTAACAGCTAGGCTTCTTCCAGGAAAGCTATTCATTTTTACCTGGGTGAAGTTGTTCATTTTACACTGGTGTTCTAAAGCCATTTTACAACAGCTAGGTGTGAGCTGAAGTAAATCAATATGACCTGCCTTCCTGAAGGGCACAGGAGCAGTGACCAAGGACTACCCCTGGCCCAAGGATAGAGAACATGGGTCCCAATAACACCAATGTCCCTAACCCTAATCCTAACCATAACCCTAACCATAACCCCTAACCTATTATATTGATATAATATTATATTTATATTGATGTAAATGACATTGGTTTTATTGGGACCCATGTTCTCTATCCTTGAACCCTACCCCTAGACCTTCAACCAAATATTTTGATTGTGAACTATTAATCAAATGCTCCTCCTATTGATAAAATTGCAACCACCCTAACAACAAAAAGACTCCAATGGACAAGTCAAATTAATCCTTGAGAGTTACTGATGCCCAGAGCCACTTAAAGAGTGTATGAATGCAAATAATTAAAAGATTACCATATTTCTTTGCATAGATATCTTCATCTCGTTTACGTTTCATGTCTTGCCATTTTGCTTGGATGCTTTTTCTGTAGTACAGTACACACAAGATGCCCACAACAATGAACCAGCCATACTGTTGCACAGCAGCTATACCTGAAAAATTAAATAAACGTTACCAGACAAACGATTTTGTGCACATCCCTTCAAAGGGTAGATATTAAATCATAATGACACCTGAAAATGAAGGTGTGTAAGACGTGTCTGCACGTGTGTGAACGTGTCATTAATGAACGCTATACTATATTTATACATGTAGAGTATGTCTTATGTCCATTATTGGTATTAGTGAGCATTGCAATAAAATTTGTATGGGTGGACATTCACATCCAGGACCGACGAGTGCGACTGCGACTGTCTTACTCGAACTTATAACGCTTGTTTCCAAGATATCATCTTGTTCCGGGACTTGATCCCCAATATCTTGAGGTTGATTATTCATAGTCGGTAGCGATTGTGTATCCCAGAATGTGACTAATAATCACGAAGGAGCTCCAATAACAACCTGTTTATATGAGTTCTTCTATAATACGCTCCTGAACCTGTTAGTAAAGGAATAGAAACAAAACACACAAATACGCGCCATGTTTGATAAGGTTATAACAGTGGCATGCCGGGAGGCGTCTATTTTTTCCGTACCGCAAATGCGCAAAGGGTTTCTCTGATTGGCTGCTTTGATTTGCTCTGACGCGATA